CTTTCACCAGCACTGAATTCACATGAGAAACATTAAGTTTTAAAAAGAAGAACAGGAGTACTTGTGGCACCTTAGAGACTAACAAATTTATTAGAGCATAAGCTTTCGTGGACTACAGCCCACTTCTTTGGATGCATATAGAATGGAACATATATTGAGGAGATATATATACACACACATACAGAGAGCATGAACAGGTGGGAGGTGTCCTGTTTATGCTCTCTGTATGTGTGTATATATATATCTCCTCAATATATGTTCCATTCTATATGCATCCAAAGAAGTGGGCTGTAGTCCACGAAAGCTTATGCTCTAATAAATTTGTTAGTCTCTAAGGTGCCACAAGTACTCCTGTTCTTCTTTTTGCGGATACAGACTAACACGGCTGTTACTCTGAAACAAAAAACAGGATACTCTAATCTACACAGTAGGTAGTGCTTTGTTAAAGATGATGTTCTCCATGAAACTGTTAAGACAGTTCAGGAGTGAGCTCCTAAACTCACTGAACACACTTTAGTTTCACTCCTGAACCAGCTGAACTTTTCCTTATAGGTCTTGGCCTTCAACCAGCCGCTGCTTCACAGTTGGCTATCTGTGATGCATAAGCATACAGTTGCGACAAGGAACACTAATTTTCTTTTTCTTTTGTTAATTAACAGAATAATTACATAACCCTAGAGAGCCCACTAAAGTCTTATTGCATACATATTTTTACTTTCTGTGGTTTGTAGACTTCAAGCTAGAGGGGCCTGAAAAATCATGAGACTTAGTAAACATTTTTTGGGTCTGTTCTTAATTGATCATTTGGAAACTAAGTAACCAATTTTCTTGAAACTCCTCTGAAAACTCAAGCTTTACTCAAAGATTGTGTGGAAAATTTTGAGAAGATACACACTAGTTTTCATACAAAACAAAGATGAAGAATTTCCACTTGAAGTGCGAAACAGAACACAGCATCGACTGTCTCATGGCAATGGCTCTCCCATAATTCATTTTATCTTGTTTCATGATTATTTTACATCCAAACATAAAAGGTATCTCTCACAAATTGGCTCTTTTGCCCTTCTTTTTCCTATAAAAATATAATGTTAACCAAATAGTACATAGTAAAAAAATTGAGGCTAATGCAATAGTCTTCTCTGCATCTTACCCGATGCTTGAAATTGGTGTTTGGACTAACAATGCTGACTTAAAAAAACAAAAATCTCAATTTGCACTATAGAGGTCAAAAGCTGAAAAGTCACTTTAAAGAGAATGATTTATATATTTAATGTTCAGCAAAAGGTTTTGCTATATATCATTTGAAATATGCTGCATCATGTGGCTATTAATTTAAAAATTGTACAAAAATTAAGACATTAAACATTTTAAAACTCAAAGGATGATATCTTGCTCCCATTGAAGTCAATGGTAAAATTTAGTTTCAGGGGGAGGCAAGATTTCAACCATAGTATTTCACTAAACAGAGACTGGATACCATAACAACATGAAAGCATCAGATACCTAGTTCTAAGGCCCTAATTCAGTATGCTTAATTATAAACACACGAGTAGCCCTATTGACTTCTGTAAGACTTAACTAAATAGTTTCTATAGAGCTTTCTTGCATAAACTATTACATCCTGCTATTTAGTCTTTACAGACCAATCCAAATTATATGGTCACAGGAGAACACACATGACTGCCTTAGAGAGAATAAGGAAATAATTGTAATACAATTTATGACTACAGTCAAGTATTTCTGATAGTTAGCTTTCTTAATTATTTACTTCTGTTTCTCTTTTTCATACTTGTGCCTGTATCTGTTTTGGAAACATAAACCCCAATACTGCAAAGACTACATATATGCTTAACTTGAAGTGCACAAGTAGTCTCACTGATGGGGCTATTTGCATGCTTAAAGTTAAGCATATGTGCAAGTCTTTGCAGATTCAGGGCCATAGAAATGGTTTGCTACTATTAAGGGTATCTTTCTTTGTAAAAGAAAGTTGGCATTTGGGGTGGAATTTTTCTGAATGCAAAGCTTTTCAATTAAAGCTTCCTACTATAGTTGTTATCCCTGTAATCAAAATATGGGAAAGACAACTATGTGGCCATGTTTACCTATCTTACAGTTGTGTAATGAATAAGAATTGTTTCATCATATCCTAAACAAGCAAGCTAGTCAATATGTAATAAAATATAGTACATGTTAATTTACAGTAAATAATGTTCTCTTTGTTTAATAAAGAAAAAACACTTTAAGCATCCAATTCAGCCATAATCAACATTATGGGCTGCCTGAAAAATTAGCTTGTATGGAAGCCAGATTCTTCTACCCTTACTCAGATAGAGTAGTGACTTACTCTTCAGCGAGGGCTACTGAAGGAATAAGGTATTACTCCATGTGAGTAAGCATGACAGAATCTAGTTCTCAGGTTGTTTTAATATAGCTTACCTTTTTAAATATTGCATAAAGACAATAATGAAAACATTTAGGAACAGTAATTATAAATATCTTGGAATGTAAAAGATTTGATTCTAAAATAGTTGCCTGCAGTTTGTGTATTGTGTGTGTTATAATACAGATAGTTATTTCTATATGATTACAACTTATAAATCAAAGGCAGACTAGTTCATGATGTTTATAGTGTCAGTCACATTATCTCTTGTGCGACAGTACCTGTCACTCAGCTGTTTTTTCTAGGTACTTAGTAGTATAGAATCAGAAGCAGGCTATAGGGCTTTAATTTCTGAAATGACTTAATGACAACCCCACCATATCAATCCAATGTAAACTTCCAAAATAATTTAAGTTCTTTTTGGTTGACACCCCTCCCCCACCCATGACACTGATCGAGCAGCTCAGTTTGGAGTGTGTGTGAATATCAAAGAAATGTTAAGTGTATTAATATGCATGAACCAATTCACTTGTTAGACTAGAACAAAGGGGGATGTTATAACATTACATTTACATGGCATATGGTCCAGTAATTACATTTGCTCTAAATTCATGAAAACTAGGGAATGTTAATGGCATTGTCTTCACTTATCTGTATTCTGTTGTCTGATATCAGATTACATGTAGTTAAATTATGTATCCTTGTAATTAGATCATCCTAGATCACAGGTGCATTAGTATTCGGATGAGAATTTACTTACTGTGTAAGAACTTCATGAAAACTAGTGAAAGATTGTCTGGATTGCTGTAACTAAATGCATTATGTATGTATCTGCAATTTAATTGCCCATCTAATGGGACTGGAGCCTTGGAACTGCAAATGAAGACGCATGCTAACTTCAAAGTATGGGAAATTTACAGACCCCTGCTGTTATGGTAACACTTGACAAACTGCTTTGCA